CCCCAAAACCCCAAAACCCCAAAACCCCTAAACACCAAGCCAAAATTGAATTAATTAAAAATATTCAAACGTGAAATGTTCGACAAAAACACCGACTACACCGCCAGATTCATCCAAAGACATTCAAAAACATGCCAATTCCCCTCCAGCTCCTACCTCTCCTGCCAATTTCACCCATCCCTAAAAGACCACTTGGTCACCCTCTCCAAAGTCAATTGCCCTTCCACTTCCAAATTCAACTACTCTGTACTAGAACCCCACGCCTCTCAAGACCCTATCGCAGAGCCCAACCGAAGAGGTAAGCCCAGCAGCCCTGCCACTAGCTGGGCTGCTCAGCCTAAAGCTGCTTTTGGAGTTTTTAAAATTTGAAGTTTCTGTACTGAGCTTTTGGACTTGAGCTTGGGATGAAGTTTGACTTAGAAATTTAAGTGGGAAATTTTGGGATTTTGGGGTGAAGGAGGGTTTTTTTGAGGTGTTTTAGGGTGATGAGTGGATTTTAGTCTAGGATAAGTAATGTTTTGAGGGGGTTATAGTGAGGTTAGGAATTTTAGAATGGGTTAGTTTAGATTAGAGAGGATTTATGGGCAATTTTACAGAAAAATAATTTGTTTTATGAGAAGTATGCTAAAATTAAAAGTAATCGGACCTTTATTCCAATTTAGTTTTGAAATCGTCAAATATCATTTTATATATGACAAACCTGCTTGATGATGAAATTCTCATAATTTACTTTGGAATAAATATTATTGATAAGTTTGGCTTCATGCTAGGTTACATTTAAAGTGGCAGCTCTGATCCTAAACCTGCCCTCCCTAGCTTCCTTTTCATCACCATAATTCTATCGATATAATATTGACCATAATTGACAAAACTAGGTTATACAGTTTTTGTGGAAATTTAAAGGGTTATGAGAATTTGATTAAAAGGAAATTTTGAATAAGATTGTCAATTTTCATCAGAATCTAGCTAGATGTAAATGGTGATGGAATAGAAGACTTGTCTGAAAAGAAAATTCGGTGACGATCTTTCAAAAAGTTTGGAAGATTAAGGACACCTCTTTAAAGCAAGATTCATTGGGTTTTACTATTTGGAAGAAGCTTAATGTATTTTTACTACCTTAAAAAATTGAGGTCAAACTTCATTAATAAAATTCAAACCCTTTTCTCTATAATATCTTATCTTTCTTTGTTAATTTTATTCTTGAGATATAAAAGTTTCCTGATCAATTACTATATTTCATATTCCTGATACCCTAAAACTTCTGCTGCTATCTGATCTCCAATCCTAAAAGCTTCAATTATATCTATGTTTCCTGAAATAATTCAAGGAATTGAGGTTCTAATGTTTAGAATTTTACCGAGAGTTCATTAAGAAAATTGAAGAATTAAAGAAACAAGTTGATGCAGGGCTTTTTGAAGAGGTAAGTTTGTTCGTCAACATTGTTACATTGAGGCATCTGCTAAATAGGTTATCACGAATCCCCCCCTGGCAAATCTGTTCCTTGAAATGACTAAATACTGTTATTATTCTGACAAAACTACTGAAAATCCTTCTTTGAGATAGATTCATTTTGGGATTTTGAAATTTAAATTGATTCGTCAGGAAATTTTGATAAATTCTATTGTGAAATTTCTTAACTTTTAGGAAAAATGTTTGGCACAAAGAGAGGATATCCCAGTTGAAGAGACAAAATGTATGGTTGTGTTGTAACTTTTAGACCCGAGTACGCATAATTTAAATATTTCCCACACCTCCCTGTCTAATTACTATGTCAAAACAGAGGTTGAGCTGAACCAAGTATTTCAAGATTCAGATAGACAGTAAATCCCCAGTCATATTTTAGGTACCTAAGGTCAGATGAAGAAGAGCCCGAAGGAGGAAGTGATGATGAAAACCAGAGCAAAGAGTCTCATAAGTCAGCAGATCCTCCACCTGAACCTCTTTCAATTAACAATTTCCTCAAAAGTGGTAGTCAAGGTATGGACATCATTGATCCAAAAATAAAATTTAATAGCCTCTAATTTAAAAGAAGAAAATAAGTCAAATATCAGCGACAATCAGCTTTTAGAGGATTCTTCACATGAAGATGTAAGCTTTGGCCTTAACTTTAGAATGCTGCAGAGATAGACGACCATGGTAGAGGGAATTCTTCAAGAATAAAGCTTGAAGAGAACTCTGATAAGGAGATCACCCTTAAGAAATTAGTCGAAAGATCTGATCCGAAGTTGTTTGAGGAGAAATAAATTGACAAATATAATGAAGAAGGTGAGCCTCCCTTTGATCTTTAGAAATCCCTTCCGAGTTTTGAAAATCCACAAGAGTCCTTGCTTAATGAAAATGCAGCTCAAGAGTCTAGTCCAAGGCAACTTGAAGAGAACAAGAACGATTCTTCAGAAGAAGATGCCATAGAAGAGACTAAAGATGATAAAGGAAGTAATGACGGCGAGGGAGAAGATCAAGAGGATCCTAAAGAAAATAATGAGCAACCAATAATTTCTCCATTTGACCTAACACCAGAGGAAAAAGAAAATCTAGAGTTGGCTGAAAAGGCTAAGAATCTTTATAAAGAATCCGAGTCATTTCCAAAAGAAGCAAGGCAACGAATTCTTGATGAAGTATTTGATAAAATATACGAAGAGAACTAGTAAAATTCCATGACTTAATCCTATAGTGCTCCTGTTCTACTATACAGGTCTTCTTCCACATCACCTTCAGTTCCAGTTCCCATTGAAGAAGCTGACTTAAAGGAAGATTGCCAAACTTTTGATAAAGCATACGTGTCAAATAATCGAAAATGAAATGAACTCTTTGAAGGGATGTCTTACCGGCCCCAGATAAGTAGACACCAATACGAACTTTCTCTGTGGAAGGTTACCCCTCAATGTGTTTCCCGTATAAGCCACCGCTATTTCAGCCTTAAAGGAGAATTCGAAAATTTGAAGATTATGAAGTGAATCGATGGAAAAGGTATCTTCTTGACAGGGCAAAGAACTGGAGAACAGTGGATGAAGATGGTAGCAGTGGTCCAAGAAAATTGGAACGAAAGTGGAGAGAATGAAGAGATGGAGTATTTAGAGTAAGTTTACAGTATTTGGCTTTTTGGACATATGAAACAAGCGTATTAGCCTAAAGAACTTTATGCTATTTTGAATTTTAAAAGATGTATTGGGTTAAAAGAATTTTCATTAATTTCAAATAAAATTTGAATTGATTCCATAAATTTCATCCCATTGCTACCTTAACAGAAAAGAAATTTCCTGAAATCACAACCAGGGATTTAAATAGTCTCTTTACTTTAAGGATCAATGGAACTTGAATAGATTAAGCTCTGGCCAATAAGTTCTTTAGACCCTAACTTCCTTAATAAATTTTAACTCTTCAAATAGTAAGAAGAAGATCAGCCAATTTGAATTCGACTGAGAAGATGAAGAAGACGGAGTTTACGAAGAAAGTGCTAGTTTTTATGAAGAAACCCCTGAAGTAAAGGGAGATATATCCTCTCTATTTCCCACTGCAAAGAACTGTCCTAGCTTTGCCCTCTGGAATAAAGGAAGATATCTTCTTACTGCTATCACAAAGCCTGAAAGAGAGTGCCATTCTTATTATTTAATTCATGATTTGGAAAAAGATAAGATTGTAGCTAAAATTATCAGAAAAGGCATCCTTCAACATAATATGATCTATTCCTTTCAGCACGATCCAGAGGACCCAGATATAATATGCATTTGCACATTTGGGCAAAGAAAAGTACAGGTTTTGAGATACAACTGCAAAACTGATAAATGAACACCTCTTTCAGAGAACAAGATTAGCTCTGAAGCTCTTGTCCCAGAAGATATTGTCTTAAGAGAAGATCTTCAAGAATACTATATCATCTACTCTCTCAAAACAATGGGATATTCTGGGTTCTCCTGCCAGAGGGTAAAGATTGGAGATAATCAGCCTGTAAATCTTGGATCTGGACAGCCAAAGAGAAGATTACAGACCAAACTAGGAAAATATTTCTTCGACAGAAAGAACTTTATCATGATAAATAATTTTACTCAATCTCGAACCCGGCTCGATATATGTGGAGACAAAGAAATTGGGCAAGATTTCCTCTTTGATTCAATTCCTAATGGGGATGAAATTATAGACTGTGGGATTATTCAGGACTCATGGTTACTCAGCTGCATGAGAGATGAGAATTCATTCAATATTAGAGCTATCTCCCTTGATGAAGAAGGTACTTGGATCACACATCAGATCAAACCATTTGAGATAATATCATACAAAAATAACTATGTTAGCATCCTCAAAGAGCAGAGTGAGATGTTTAATATAGATCTAAGGGATGGGGAAATAAGCTATCTCAGGTTGAGAAGTCCTTTAGTCCTTTCCTCGAATATGGAGCAGTATAAAGATATCGCGGGGGTGGTCCCATACCTTATTGATCTTGGATCTAAGCTATTATACATTACTGTTTACTTCGAGTATCAAGGTTTCCAGATATCATTTTCCCCAATGCAGTTAGAAAAGAAGAATCTTCCTGTTGCAAAACTCACTGGTAAGAGTCTTGCTGAGTAGATGTCGCTTCATATATCTGATAAAATAAAAACCATTACACTAATCATTAGGAACTTAAATACAAATTTTAAGTAGAAGCGGTTTGATTATCATTGAGAATTTACCATTCACGCTGATCCATATTTGCTAGTCAAAATATGTATCGTCATATCTCTGAGTATTATTGAATATCCCTAGCATATTTTTAACACTCATTGCAAATTTGTAGTAACTTTTGCCATGATTGCTTAAAACATCTGAAGACTTTAAAAAGCATCACTAGCACTAATTAGATTCTTCCTCTTTACCAAATAAGCTTTTTTAACAATACACTTGCTTCCCATGTAATTTAATGCGACTACTTCTTACTGAAATTTAAATAGGAGTTTTTGCGTCAATAGACTTTAAGTTTGCAGGAAATGAGAATGAAGAAACAACAGTCCTTACCGAGTTCATAAAGTGTAATATCAACTATTCTTCAAAAAGTAAGATATTTCAGTAACTTTAGTACTGCATTGGCAATCCTTGATTAAAATTGATAACAGGAGGACCCTAGAACTTGATAGAGATGATTCAAATTTTAAGACTAATATTTTCCATATAATGGACAGAGGCCTTGTGTTGTGGAAGAAAGGCGGCAAGAGGTAAGTCATCCTCAATGCATCAGAATCTAATGAGTAATTTAGAGTCCAGTTTCATAGCAAACCAATAAATCTTGAAGATTCTAAAGAATCAAAAACTATTTATATCTCTCAAGAAGTCATCTTTGAAATGACTATGGCTAACAATTCTTATCAAACTGAAATTTATCTCTGTGATGAGCCTAATTTTGTCAAGAGTTGCACTCTATCGGATGGTAAAGATATCCAGATAGATATTGTTGAAGATTTCTTTGTTGGAAACCACTTCCAAATCCCTCAAGAAGGATTTAAAGTTTGTAACAAAATGCTATATCAAGGACTTAAAGGAAGTTTATTACAGCCTAAAGAAACCAAAACAGAAGATCTTGTTCTTTTCTGGGAAATCGAAGAACACCAAATTCCAACAAAGAAAGTTCAGACTCGGGTCCCACTGTTCTCAGAAAACACTCTAATGTGGCAAGGATTTAATGAAAAGAATGATATTGCTGAGTTGATGATTCTTCCTTGCTACAATGATCCCTCTTTTAAGATAACTTCTCCGCCTTCAGGAAGTTACGCTGAGCAGAACTTCTTTTACCACAGTAATGATGACTACATAGTTTATCACTGGACTCCTATAAATTATGGTACCCAGTACCCTATTGACATCGTGAAGGCAAATGGAGAAATAGTGCAAACTCTGATGCTGGATAAATTCGATACAAAAGGCAAACTTAGTTCATCATATTTCTACTCCCCAAATATGAGATATGTCGCAACTATAGAACCACATTGGGAAGAGAGTGATGATTACTATTCAAAATTAAAAGATATTACCATTATTGTTTATGAGTTCTGACAAAATTCAGAGACAAAGGAGTTTTACCTGAAAGAAATCAGAAATATAGACAGTGCAGTTGAGGAGCTTAGTTTAAAACTATCCACAGAGTTCAGTTACTCAGAATATTACACTTTTTATCTGATGAATGATAAGTCTATTGCCTATAAAAGTGACTATCCTGATGAATTCTCTATAGAAGGATTCTGCTTGAATGATAGCATCCAGAAAGAACTGAAAAGGGAAGAAACTGGTTATATCAAAGAAGCTTTATATCCTAAAGAAAATGGAGTGGTCATCAGCTTTCAAGAGAATGTATACAATCTAGATTTAAACATAGATGTAAGTTTAAAACTTATCTTTAGAACTCCTATAACCCCTATTCTATTAAAAAGCTGAACTTTAATATCCAGGACCAGACTTTGAGTATCAGTAGCATTCATCTAACCAGAGACCCGAATTTCATTGTGATCATATTCTATGATACCTCTGGAGGGTACATCACTGTTGTCTGGAACTTAAAAGAGAACATTGAACAGTATAACTTCTCTTCAACAGAATGCCCATGTTATTTCTTCGGCAAAAACTCCAGATTCGGATACATATGGTGCTCTGAATATTATGTCAATCTTGATTTAGGTTTAAAGAATTTCTATTTCGAACATTATTACTATGGAGCAAGTAGCTCTAAAGGATATCTTATCAACAAAAAGGAAGACCTTTTCTTGTCTAGTTCAGTATTGATCACTAAAGAGACAATTGTGGAGGTGAATTCCCTTGACGGATACTTACAAAATGGGCCAAATATCACAAAGAATAACATTAATCTTGAAAGAATTCGATTCCAAGTAGATAACAATACTATGATTCATTACTTTGCTCTTGAATATGACACTCTGACTCTAATTCTTGATTACATGGAGCAACATAAAGCTGGATATCTCACAGCTATTTTAATGCCAAACAAGAATGGAAAATCAGCTCTTGATATAACTATTGAAAAAGAAAGCCCCAAGAATACTGAAGCGCTATTAATAAAGATTTTGCAGTTCAATGACCAGAAATTGTCACACTTGTTTGCTGACAAGTTCAGCCAATTGGTGAAGATGAACATTAAAGCATTCAACCAGTACTTGAACTCTTGTTTCTTCCAGACAATCCAGATGAAAAGTATTGATAACCTGCAATTTAAGGACAAGTCAGACCCAGTTTTGGTTGGGCATAACTGTTGTATGATTGATAATAATCTTATTGATACTCACTGCAGCAACTTAGCAAAAAGAGTCCTCGAGCTTGAAAAGATAGTCAGAGAGAATAAACAGAAAGAAACTCTGGAACGCAGAGCCACGCTTCAGAGACAAATAACTCATCATGAAGAGATGAAAATCAAGCAGAGTGAAGATGATGAGTTGCTTGATGGAGAAGGGGAGATCAACTCTCTCCAAATGGTAGATCCTAACGAAATCTTAGAGAGTGAAATAGACATTACTCAGAAAAAGAAAGTGACCAAAGAAGAAGCCTTACTAGCAAAGTATAAAAACAGACAAAAGAAAGTTAAAATCAAGGGAATTGAATTTGACTGGCTCTTCTCAAATATCCAAGGGCCTGCCTTTTTCAAGCTTCTCATTCAATCACAACAGATTGAGATCTTTTCGATTCCTTTGATCAGATACATCATAATCTACTTTTGGGGATTCTTCAGGTTCAGAATAATGATATTCTTATTTTTCCCTTTCCTAGTCTATTTTGCGATCTTCCTTTTATACACTACATGGTTCCACAAGAGAAAGATAGAGCATAATGAAGGGAATGGAGAAGGATTTGGACTAGCTTGCTCTATCTCAGTGATCATTATCCTCCTGTTCCTCATAAAAGAAGCATACTATGAAATAAGACAAATGATGTACCACAAGCTAAACTATTTTTACTCGTTTTGGAACATTATCGACCTCTGATCCATGATGCTCAACTTAATAATCTGCATTAGCCAGTTCGCAGGATTAGCAGATAAAGACATGAACTTAATAATGTCTATAGCTGTGATTGTGATGTATCTTAAACTATTTTATTTTGGAAGAATATTCCTCGCAACAGCTTCTCTAGTCAGTATGGTTATAGAAATTACCAAAGATATGAAGTACTTCCTCATGGTATTCATGATCAGTGTGGCAGGATTCGGACATTGATACATGATACTTCAGAACAACCTCGAGGGTGGAATATTTGACGGTGATACATACTGGAATGCATTCATTTACTCATACCAAAACAGTCTTGGAGATTTTAACACAGACAATTTTGAAGGAACTGATAAATACTATCTGTACACAATATGGTTCATGAATGTACTCATAGCACTTATTGTGTTACTAAATCTTCTCATAGCCATTATGGGTGATACCTTTGACAGAGTGAGAGAAAACTCTGAGAACAACATGCTCAAAGAACTTGGTAAGCCCATTGCAATCATCTCTAGCTGCAATTATGTCTGAAAACGAGATGTTAATCAACAGAGATAAGAAGTTCTCCCAGTACAAGTATATCATAGGTAAATTTCCTCCTTAAAATTAGTTGTCGAAACGGATAAGGGTGAAGAAGCTGATATACAGTGGGACGGACGCCTTCAAAGACTTAGAGACTACCTTTCCAACACAGTTGAAGAGAATAGTAGACTTCTGCTAACTTTTAGATGAAATTATGAAAAAGTGCAAAACTAGCATTATCTCTAAGGTCAAAGAGAGAGCGGAGAAAATTGCTGATTCGATGGAAGAGTCTTCCCAAAGAAGGATTTCAAGTAAGGCTTGTGGGTAACACATAGATATTTCTAGCAAGGCTGATGAAATTCAGATGTTCTTAAGCAAAATTTCGAATAAGATTGAAGAAAATGTTTTAAAGACAAAATAAGATATTTGGAATTTCAATAGACTTAAGAAACTTCGGGGTTTTGGGGTTTTGGGGTTTTGGGGTTTTGGGGTTTTGGGGTTTTGGGG